TGTTTGTATTGTTAGTCTGTAATAAATTATATTGTTTATAACTTATCTGAAGCCTGCATTTCCCTGCGTCAGTCACATACCTCTGGTCATACCCCGGAGCCCTGACAGTATCTCTGAAGCGAAGGACCAATGCCTCATTTGGGGGGAGGGATTGTCTGGGCGGAGACCCAAACTAGAATCTCATAACTTTTCCTAGGCACAAGTAACATTCCACCCGCAGGTAGATTAATATGCAGACGCATCTGAGGAATGGTTAGATATGAAATATTAAATACATATGTGAAGGGTTCCAGAGCTATAATTTTCTGCTTTCCTAGGTATTCCAGTCAGGGAGTGTGACCTATCCAACGATTTGTCTGATCGGGAGCAATCTAGAGATAGGTCTGTGTGAGGGACCGCCGAGCGGCACCACTAGCACTCCACTGGTCAGGCGTGCCCAGAGTGCGGAGTCTAAGCCCCAGGGTACTTGTTCACCAGGGCCCCTGATGGTGGGGATGGACTTGTAGTACCCCGAGACCAGGTCGCCTCTACTGAGCACACCTGTCAGTGGTAGTGGTGTTCGCCAGGGGTTCCAACCAGGGAGAGCCAGATGTGAGGAGGTCGGGTGACCCCGATGGGATGGATGGATGGATGGCTGAGCAAGTGCGTAGTCAGACAGGCCGAGTCGGTAATGTAGAGGACGGTAAGGTACAAGGGAGCAGGCAGAGAATCGTCGGGTCACACGCCAGGTCAGCAACAGGAGGTCAGATCTAATAAGGGGCATCCAGGGAGAGAGGTCAGGCAAGCAAGGGTCTGGGCAGGAGAAATCAGCAAGGTCAATAGTAATCCGGGTCAATAACTTACTAGGCACAGGTACAGGAACACAGGAAGCAGGTAAGACCAGAAGGCAACGAAATGACAGCTCAGGGACCTTTAAATATCCCGCCCTGCGCTGCCATTGGTGCCCAGCGGGCGGCCGCGGCTTCTACTGCGCATGCGCGAACTCGAACGCCGCGGCCGGCCCGGACCTAGTGCCCGTGTACTGGGTGGAGCAGTGCGCCTGCGCCGGGCCCAACGCGGCGGGGATCGAGGAGATCCCTGACAGTCTGGTTTTTATGTAAGTCTCTCATATTCCAAGATATGAGACATAGGGGAAAAATGGATTTTAAAAGTGTTATCTAGTTCCTTACTCCTCTGGAATGTCTTTGAACTCAGGGGAAGGCTTGGGTTATCTTTTTACAAGATGCCAGATTGCTCAGCTTCCCAGCCAGCCCGGCACCTAGCTCAGAGATGGTTTATAGCTTGGAGCTTCCTGCTGTACCCTGGCCGGCCTGTGACACTTCCAACACACACACACACACACACACACACACACACACACACACCAACCAAATGTCACTGTGACTCTCAGAGAGGGAGGGGGAGAATGAGGGGAAATATGTTTGTACAAGATGGATGATCCTTTGACAAGATGAAGGTTGGAGCCAAAATGGTTGAACCGCGTCCATCTCTGTGGGTATGATTGCTACAAAACCCTCCAGAAATAACATTGCTTACCAAAGCATATCCTGTAAGAGCAATTAAGATGCACAGAGTCAACAAATCAAAGCAATCAAAATGATACTATCCTATCTATAACTTTTTTTTTTTTTAATGGATGAACTGGATGGACTTTTGTCTTCTTTCAGCCAGACTAACTATGTAACTATCTATTTTACTCCAGGGATTAACGTTACAACTCTGTTTGAACACCAGCCCATCTTGACTAATACAAATTACATTTACTACATTTCTGTCCATTAACTTGTATTACAGTTGATATTATTTTTAGTAGGACAAAGGTGAGGAGTGCAACTTGAGAGAACATTGCACAACTAAACTAATAAATGCTTGCTGAACATCCTGGTAAAGACTGGACATACCTCTTCACACTTGGAGACCATGCCTACCACTTATGACAGCAAGGTTCCATGCAGTACCTAGGAAATACTTTATGCTACATTTGGTGTATTTTGGTACAGTTTTTCCTAAATAAGTTCGCTCAGACCCCTTAGTGGTACCCAGCTTGTCAAATACTTATCTTAATCTCCTAATTCTGTGCATATTCTGAGCAACCACGTTAAGCCATTATGAGTACTATTGTCTCACAAGAATGGATGAAGCTACAGCACACAAAATCAGTGCTAACTAGCCATTTTTGGGATAATGGTCGTGTGGCTCTGAGCGAAGCCACAAAGTTAAGACTGTTGATAAGAGTTTAGGGTAAATATCTGAAACAGTGGATTGCATTTCGGGAACTTATTGCAAGGCAACTGTACAAAATAATTAATTAACATGGTTATGGTCACTTGCATTTTTACCTATTCTAAACCAGGAATAAATGAACTTCACAAAAAACTCTCACAGACTCTGTAGCTGCAGTTCTTGTGCGGCAATTCATACTCAAATTCCACAACAGGTAAAGAAATGTGTAATACTCAATGCTTTTAATTTTGAATGGCATTCAAATTCACTTACACGATGCACCACAGCCCATATACATTTTACCACACCACAAATCACAGAAGTAAACCATTTATGCTTTATGGTGTAATACATTAAGAAACAAATGGGGCATGTCCATTCAAATTTGCAATGTGGTGTGTTGGCAGCCCATTCAAAATACATGCACATTATGGCAAGGACTCCTGGTGACCACAAATATTTTTTTTCTCCTTATAGACGTAGTTGAAAAATAAGGTCTACCTTGAGTTAATAATAGTGCAGGAGTCACCAAACCCCACTAAAGAAGATATTGGCAATGTGGTTTGCTTTGGTTAAGGTTCAGTAGTTCTGGATGGCGTATGGCCTAAGGAAACAGCAAAGGTTTCAATGAGAAAACTCTGACAAATGCCACAATTTTAGCTTTATAAATATACCCCTATATCTCCGAATAGTATTTGGCTAGCTCTTTATTGTTTCACATTTCCTTGCCATTTGTAAAATACATACGTGTACATTTTCCTGTTTGTCATGAGGTTTCTAAACTGCTTTTCTCAGAGGGCTTTCTCATATCGGTTTGACTATATAAAGTTTGAAAAATGCATTATAGTCTGTTTATCCATATGAGCATTTATTAGGCAGAACATGAATTGATGGTCTCTGGCTTAAAGGATTTTTACTTACCATTACTTCGTTGCTCAAGTATTGCCAGTCATACTTTTTTCAACCCTGTCTTGCAGGTCTTGGCAGAATGTGTAATGGTAAGGCAAAAGCCAGATGGACTAACATCTAAACTGTTGCCAAAAAGTCTGTAGAACTTACTAATTAGTAGCTTCAGGTTCCCCTGGATGTTGGTCCTGGCACATCCCATGGTGGAGGTGGACATATGGGTACCATCAGCATTGAAGCAGCTGATATTTAAATACTACAATAGTTTTACCAGATGGTTAGGTATTAGCTCAACAAGGGGGTGAAAAAAAATCTTCTGAGAAATACATTATGAAATAGTACCCTAATTCTTCTTGTTTTTCCTTTCAGTTTGTTGCTAAGGTGCACCCGTCCTCTTCTGTGCTGTCAGACAGACATCATTCTGAAGGCTCTTTGTACCAGTATTTTTACTGTTATTATAAAATTATGATAAGGCCATGCAAATAATTACCTTTCCACCATGTCCTTGCTTTAGTTCGATGCAGTCTGATTAATCTCTTCAGCTATTTTATCCCACCATTGCAGAAGCCTCCTGAAATCAGATAAAATTGAAATATCTATAAAGAGCTGATATTATTACTTTTACGTAGCTCAAGCATTTAATAGAAAAAAAGTTAATTCAAAAGGAAAAGGTGACTATTTACATGTGTCTATAAATCCATTTATGATGGATACTATGATTCCATACCTTACTATATTTTCAGTACTTCCATTACTCTTGATAATTGCAATGAGGATGACTATTCAGATCTTCATAAGGGGGGGGGGGGGGGTAAAATTGTGGATAATAAAAAAGGGGTATTTCAAATGGGATAAGAGATGGGAGGTTATAGCTTACTTGATGGGGACTGATTTAGTTCTTTGTGTGTGAGAAAGAGTATGTTGTGGCTAGAGAAATTTAATCAAGCTTTGCCTAACTACTTTTCATTATTGAAGAAAGAATGTGTGCCAGGAGGCTTAGAACTTAGAAGAGACCTTCTTGCACGCAATAGTAGTCTTTCTGGAAAAAAGAGGCTTTCCAGCAGTATTGGTATTCCAAAGTAGAAAATAGCTTGGGTACCCATCTTAACCAATGATGTGTACCTGTATGTCCTCAGGTTTGAGTGGTTACACTGGGGCCATGGCTGCAGCTGTGTATCTTTTTTTTTCAGCAGATGATTCTAAATAAAGAAAAAGTGATCCGAGTGGCTAATTAGGAGGTCCCCCCTCCTGCTGCCTTCCCAGGCTCTCCTATCCTACCTGGGAGCTCGGGACTGAAGCCAGAGGTTCTGCTGGTTGACCAATCTAATGTACACAGACCGTTACCAGCCAGTGAAAGCTTCAAATCAAACTGATCTGGTTTTGATCTGATGCTTTGCAGGGCAGAAGAGTAATCTGGGGTCTGATAGACCCCAAAACTCTCCTTAAAGAGGACTTTTCACTACTCCAGCTATCACAAGAGATGTTCATCCCTTGTGATAGCCTTGAAAGTGATTTAAAGAAAAAAAAGGAAAAAGTGTAAAAATAAATAATAAAATAAAACAAATTTAAAGTGACCCCACACACAATGATGAACACATATGTAGGTAGTGCATGCATAAGTAAACAGTGTTCGCAACACACATGTGAAATATTGCCGTGAATAGCAAGAGCAATAGTTCTAGCACCGGACCTCCAATGTAACTCTAAACTGATAACCTGTAAAGGCTTTTAAAGTGCCGTATGGAGAATTTTAACTACGTATAGTTTGTCGCCATTCCACGAGCATGCGCAATTTTAAAGCATGACATGTTAGGTATCTATTCACTAGGTGTAACATAATTTTTTATATTTTACCAAACAATTGGGTATTATATTTTGTTTTTGTACATTAAAATTCATTAAAGTGTATTTTTTTTAAAAACTATGTTTGAAATACTGCTGCGCAAAATTCAGTGTGACATAAAATATTTCAAAACCCACCATTTTCTTCTCTAGGGCCTCTGCTTAAAAATATGTATAATGTTTAGGAAGTCTAAGCAATTTTCTGTAAAAAAAATGCTCATTATTACATGTAGGAGACATGTAAGAATTGGCCTGGGGTTCAAGTGGTTAAGAGTCCATAGAGAGTAGATTACAGGTGACAGATCCCACTCTTCTTGTATCTGTCAAGCAGATACCTGCAAGCTGACAGATCTTGTGGGGAGCTGTACAAGGATAGTTAGTACATGTCCTGCTATATCCTACCATAGAGTCTTTGAACAGCCTTGGATATGGGAAACACAAGCAGTAAAAATTGTGATTTTTGTAAATAATTTGTGAATAAAGTTCTGTTATGTGTTTGTGTTTATATGTTATATGTGGGGTGGGGTGGCCGTAGGACTTATGAGGTAGATTGATAGATGATGATTCATACATTGAGTCTCAATATAGGTAATATATTGTTATGCCTAGTACACGCGATGAGAATGTCGGATAAATGATCATCTGGTTTTTTTTTTTTATTTCCATGCTAGTCTCATATCAAATATGAATAGGTTACTAAAGTTACAAAAATTCTCATAAGACAGAATACAACCTCGGAAGTGATGTAATGTATTCTTTTGTTTCCAAACAAGTGCACTCTTGGTCACTCCGATTTTTTTTTTTTACTGATACTATACTAATTACATGAATATCATTTGCTCTGTTATCTTACGGGAAAAATGTTCATGCTTGTTTCTGGATATGTTCGCATGGACTATCATGATTGGCTCTCCAAAGCTGTGTACTAATGATCAGATTATCTATTGATAGCTCTGTCACGGATCCACGATCGCCGCCACCAACATGCGACAATCGCACGACCGCGACTAACAGTAATACGTCACGCCCACAGCGTCAGACCCCAGACCTTCTCACCAAACTCATGACCGAAGGACCGGCCGATCTAAAACCGCGGTGTGACGCGCGTAACAAGGCCACACTCAGCTGCACCCAGCACAGCGATTTCCCAGCTAATGGACTACAATCGGTGCCTGCAGCCTAAATGCGCTTGTTACTGGATCGGGTTAATTACACAACTAACCCTCTACTGCCACCACCACTTTTGTCGGAGACTGGGAAACTTCCGTTATCAAATATACACTATAATGATTGAAATATTGATCTATATAGCACGGCCCGCAGACCTGTTATACAGAGATATACCAAACAGTAGCGTCTCTTCAAAGGCAGGGATTCGTGAATTGCAAGTAAGCGCTTAGAAACAGTTTAACACTTTCAGAAAGAAAGATTTATTACTTTAAGAGTCAAAACAGGTGCAATACAATATTTACAAAGAGATGTCACAAAAATATATATATATGTATATATAGACACAGCAAAGAGATAATTAGGAAGAAGATTACAGGGTTAAGTTACTTGCCCATATGCCTGGGTTTGCAGAGTCCAGCTGCAGAGCAGGGGGATTTCTTGATCTCCTTTTGTTACGATGTTAGCTGCGAGATCTCCTACACTCTGGCTCTAGGCTTGTCTGCCTGTCTCTCTTAAAATCCCTCTCAAAGGGAGTGGGGGGGGCTCTGACTATAGTTTTGGGAGTGGTCATTGGGAAACTCAGTTAAAACTAACAGCTTCATAATCCATGACATGAAACATACAGTTGACCTGAGGAATGTGCAATTACTCTGGTCAGTTTGATAATGTGTGGGCTTACGCCGTTTTGGGTCAATGCTTCCCAGCTCTCTGAGAAATTCTGCCTTATCAGACGTAGGTGAGAAAGGTGACAGCTTTCCTAGACCACTGGCACCACCAGGGTTGACCTACACCATCTTTCCGGAGATAACGTTTGCCTCTCAGGGCTGGAAAGGGGGGATGTGAGGAATGATCAAGGAATACCTCAAATAACAGAAAAGAACAAGAAAAAGAAGAACTCCGCTTCCAGCTCTGATGAGCTAGTTTGTTACAAGCTCCAAGAGTGTTTTTTTGTCCAGTTTTCTCATTGTGTGTACTAGACATTAGTGCTGTTTAATTTGTGTTGTTTGCTTAACCTCTTCATGCTGGCTGAACACAAATGTGCTGCCTCTCGACGTCTGGGCCTAGACGCTGAGCGGCCGCACATTTGGGTTCTATTAAAAAAGGACATATGTGCCAAGAGCGCCCTCCCAGCACACATGTCCAGTACTCACGGAAAGGTCACAATCTCCTCTTTCGATCGGGACCTTTCCAATCATGTGACCGCCGTGATGGCGCATCACGGTCACCTGACCCTAAACCCTGCCCCAACTCCCGGCTTATGAAACTCTTAAAGGGCCAGGAGGCGCCGGCGTGAAGGGGTTAATATCTATCCTATCTCTAAATGTTGTAGTTTACTATGGCCATCAGAATCCGACAATGCCTGGGGCTGATTTATTAGGCGAAAACAGAATTTGCTGTTAAAATGGAAAGTCTAAAACACACATAATACCCTATACATGTATTCTCTGAAGAGAAAAGAAAAAGCAAAACTACAAAATTAGATTATTTCCCTGATCATTACACACTTCCTCGACTGAAGCTGGTAAGCAGATTCATATAAATACAATGTAATTCCCCTTGTGACCAGCTATGCATTTAGAGCCACACATGCTTGTAAAGATACAGACAAAATATGGAGCCATTTATAAAATGTTCAACCACCTGTATACCCTTTATGCACATTTTTTACATTTATGCTATGGGACTATTGAGATTGTTATCTGTAATGATACAAAAAAAGCACTTTTTTTTTTTCATTTTGGACAGAGTAGTGGAGGGTTATAAACCCTGTCCGTTTATTGTTTACCATCTGTGTTCCATTGGGGAGATTTACCTTCACTTCCTGCCCCATAGCCAAAACAGGAAGTGAGGGGAAATCTGTGAAATTTTAGGAAATCCCTTGGGGACCCCCGGGTCACCAGATCTGATGTCCCCATTAGAAGATTTCCTCTCTATTACTTTTTTGGGGACAATCAAAAATTTGGGATTTTCTCTTCCTTTCACTTTTAATGATAATGGAAAACAGGACAAACAGAGAGAGTGAATCTTCCTAATAAATACTAACAGGTGTTCTCCACTCTATCCAAAACTAAAAAAATGCCTTTAGTTGTACTTTCTTTTGATGATGGTGTCTTTCTATATATTTTTCTATAAGTATTTTTCTTTCTATATATTTTTAACCTCTTGCCAACCACGCTATAGCCAAATGACAGCTACAGCGTTGTAATCCAGTTCTGGGAAAACATCATATGTCGTCCTCCCAGAATGCGCCCTCCCATGCGCACCCAGCAACATGCAGCTGGTGCACTCCCTGATCGCTGTGTCCTACTGACACAGCAGATCACATGATGAGGTAAAAGGCCAATCACATCGGCCTTTTACCATGTGATCAGCTGTATCCAATGACACAGCCAGGGGAGGACTGACCATTTGGAAACTTGGGCACTGCCCGAGGGCCCGGGGTCAGTAGAGGGCCCCATGAGATGCCCCTGGTACCTTTTTCATAGGCTTTTGTGAGTTTCGGCAAGGACGCAGGGGCCCCATGATCCCCTATTGCCCGGGGGCCCCATGAGTTGTCAGTCCGCTCCTGGACACAGCAGATCACCGAGTAAATACAGTTGCTGGTTATCAGCTGCACTTTCCTCACGCTGTCACAGCATGAGGAAGGTACTGCCAATAACCGGCAACTGTCACAGAGCAGATCATCACCGATGATCAGAGCCCTGATGATCAGTGCCCAGCAGTGCCATCCACCAGTGCCCAGCAGTGCCTCCCACCAGTGCCCAGCAGTGCCACCCATCAGTGCCCTGCAGTGCTACCCATCAGTGCTGACCAGCAGTGCCACCCAGCAGTTGCGCCCATCAGTGCCCAGAATTGCCACCAGTCAGTGCTGCCAGTCAGTGCTGCCCATCAGTGCCGTCTATCAGGGCCCATCAGTGCCTCCTATCAGTGCCCATCATTGCTGCATATCAGTGCCTCCTCATCAATGCCTACCAGTGCGCCTCATCAGTGCAGCCTATCAGTGTCCATCAGTGCTGCCTATCCGTGCCACCTCATCAGTGCTGCCTATCAGTGCAGCCTCATAAATGCACATCAGTGAAGGAGGAAAGTTACCTGTTTGTAAAATTTTATATTAGAAACAAAGAAAACCTTTTTTTTCAAATGTTTTGCTCTTTTTTTGTTTATAGTGCAAAAAATAAAACATCCAGTGGAGATTAAATACCACCAAAAGAAAGCTCTATTTATGTGAAAAAAAAATGATTAAAATTTCATATGGGTACAGTGTTGCATGAACACTCAATTGTCATTTAAAGTGTGAGAGCACCGAAAACTGAAAATTGTCCTGGGCAGGAAGGGGGTAAAAGTGCCCTGTAGGCAAGTAGTTAAGAGCCCAATCACACTTGTACATTGTGGTAACGTCATCGTGCATTACCGTGGTATACCACGTGTTTAATGAATAGACAAATAGATATATACTCACAAACCAACGATTTGGTGGACCACACACACTGCTTTTATCGTTGGATTGTGAGTATATATATATATATCTATATATCTATTAGTCTATTCATTAAACACGTGGTATACCACAGTAATGCATGATGAGAGTGTGCCCTTGTCTGTTCTTTTTTTCCAGTGGTTAGATTTCCCGATCTTTGAAGGGCAGCACCAATTCGTTTGGCATTCTGTCATTTTCCTGGTTTGCATGAGGATTGGAGCGCGGGTTTCGTTTGTTTATATATTGTGGTAACGTGTGTCATGGCAATGCGCAGTGCATTGTGCTGCCATTGCATAGCATGCATTGTGGCATACTTATGTTACCAGAAAAAGGACCATGAATGTTTTTCCAATGGTGGTGCATTGGTAGCCCAGTCAGTTATGTGCAAGTATACAGAGTGAAATTGCACATTATG